CAGATAAACAAAAGGGAAATCCTAAAGAAAAACAAACAATCAAAAATCAAGAACTATCAGACTAAACAAAAGAAACAAAGAGACACACTAAAAAAAACAAATAGGCACACAATTATAATCCTAAACCCTCCCCGGCAACGGCGCCAATTTTGTTGTCAATATTTTTACCGGAGTAGAATCGAAAGAATCGTCCCCGGGTCGTATCGCAAGGAAGGTTAGCTGGATACTCTTGTGCGTATATTCAATCACGAAAAAGAGAAAAAGAATTCCAAAACACTCTAATTCAATATTTTTTTGGTTTTGATTATCAACTACTGATTTAAACTGAATAAAATGAAAGCAAATAACTTTACTGAATGATTAAAGTGCTAGGGAGTCGGGGATAATTGCTTTCGGTTCTAACACAATCACCAGCAATCGATTGCTCGGTTAAAGGTCTTGAATCGTTTCTCGTTCAGAGGTTCACTCTCAATAACTCTTCGTAACAAGAGAGTGAATGTAAACGATCAACTATCAGTTCCAACAACACATAGATAATACGCTTCCGAACAAATCTATTCTAAACGAGCCTAATTCTACCAACGTCTCCCCTCTCGGTTATACATGTTGATTATCTAGGTTAGAAAGGTGATCAATCTACTAACCCTATGATTCACACAACTCGAATAGACATGAATAATCAAAAGCATTCAATTATAACGAACCTAATCAATCATCCCTTATCCCTAGCGAATGCATTTAGCTACTCATATGAATTTCAACATCAACATTCAAATTAACCCAAGCCATCATCATCAACAAGCAATTGTGAAAAAGAACTTACGATTAATAGTGAGAATCCCAATGTGAAATCCAAGTAAACAATCCAAATCCAAAGCGAAGAAAGTAGGAGTTTTTCAATCTCCAAAACAGATCAAAAGTGCAAAAGAAAGAAAAGGAATAGGTTTTTCTCCAGAAAGAACGTAAAAACAAAGTCTGAAAAGTGAATCCTCCACCTTGGGATCGAAATCAGCATTAAAAATCCCGTCCTCGAAATTCGCGTCGGTTAAGTCGCGACTCGCGACTGAGATGGTCTTTGCCTTGGTCGCGAGTCGCGCGTCGCCGTTTTCTTATTACTCTGGGGTTGGTCGCGACATAGGTCGCGAGTCGCGACTCAGTCTCGCGAGTCGCGACATGTTCTCGCGAGGCGCGACATCGTCTCGCAACTGCCTTTTAGCCCCAGTTTTTCTCGCGGGCCGCGACGAGTTCGCCAGTCGCGAGTCGACTCGCGAGTCGCGAGAATTTCTGGGCACGTTTTCTGTCCGGTTTTTTAGTCCTCTTCGTTGTCTTCTAGGCCGGCCACGGGAATTCTCGATATCACAGTCTCGGCACACGCAATGCTAACCTCAACCGGCACAACCTACCTCCTGAAAACATAAACACGGAAAAACACGAAGCAAAACACGGCAAAAAGATACAAAAATATAAACTAAAGGCAAAAACACAAAACGAATGAAATGGACCAAATAAATGACGAAAAACCTACAAATGTGAGGAAAACAAAAAGAAAATAAACATGAAATAAAGACACAAAAATGGGACAAACACTTTTGCAAACCTTTGTTTATTTCCTTTCGCTCAGACAATTTTCAATTGTGCTAGAGACTTCTTTTTTGCTATTCAATTTCCGTACCTTGGAATTTTTTCTTGTCTTTCTTTCCTTGCGTAAAATGAAGTTCGGATGGAGTTAAGCATCCTGTTTTTCTGTGGTTCCATATCTGTCCTTAGTAAGTTTAGGAACCTGGTTTCGTGATACCCCTAATTCGCTATTAAAGGCTCAAGAGAGCAAGTAACGTCGCAATTCTTGAGAACATCCTAGCCTCCAGATAAACTGCGACCGAATATTCCTTGTTGATCAAACTGAACGTTGTATCGGAGGAGCGTACGTGATGACCGGCGGCAATACCAAGAAGTTTTTTTCCACCTTAAAAAATTATGAAGGATCTTTTAAGGAGGGTAGTCGAGCCTGGTGCAAGCACATCGTGAGGTGAAAACCGTCTTTGTTCTTGAATTTTTGTTCATCGTAGTCCTTGGAACCTCTCATTCTTTTACTCCTTTCGGAGTTTTGAGAGAAATCTTTTGTTTTTCTTGGACTTTTGCGATCCTTTGGAAACACTTGTTCCTTTTTTTGTTCAAGTGTTGCAACCTTGTGTATCAATTAAGACAAGTATTTTTGTTTTTCCACTTGTCTTATATCATTCCTTCAGTTGTGGTTATGTCTTTCGGACTGAGTAATTCCCCATTGTTTTCGTGGACCTAATGGACCGAATACTCCATTCATATCCAGATCAGTATGTCATTGTCTTTGTCAATAACATCCTGTTCTACTTCTGAGACGCGGACAAAACGAATCAACCAACGGCGAGGATGATCAACCACTACCAAGGAATTAAGACCTGTTCGTTTAATTGTAGATTTGGGGTTGTGCTCATTCAGGATTGCTGTGATGATTAGCTACATGAGAAAGAGCTGACGTGATGGACGACGTTGTTAGTTGGAAGAGTCGAGGCGAGCTAACTATGTAATGTCTCGGCTGGAGCCACTGACTTAGGGAGAATCGTCATTAGAGTTCTTTTGAGATTTCGCCTATCTTTAGATCTGTTGTGTATTTGTTATGTTGCTTGGGAAAAATAGTAGACTTGGAACTCAGACTTGCACCTTACTATTTCTGAGACCCTTGATACTTAGAAATAGTGATATATTGTTTTGTTGAACCTAAAATTTTCAAAAAATTATTTGTAAAAACCATTCCTTTTTGGTTGTCCTGGATTGTAACTTTCTTGTGAAACCTTGGACTGAAAGCCGACCCTGGCCAGGTGTAGCCATGCGAAGTGGTGGCTGAGCACGCATGCCCATATTGAGAGATGCGAGGCCAACTATGGGGCCGACCGTTGACTCGCACGAGAGCTGCAACCGCCATCACCGAACGCACAAACTCCCCGAGCCAGCGTATGCGGCCAAACCTCGACCTTGCAGCTGGTCTCCGAGTAAGTGTGTGCGCGCGCATCCCAGCACCCCGCTTATGCAGCGCCAGCGAGTGTGCCGCCTTTTGGGTGACAGTGCATTAACCCTGAACCATCGATTTCTTTTTGAACTGTTCGACCAGTTTTCTTGCTGAACTATTTTGTTAGTCTCTCGACCCTTTTTTTTTCGAGCCTTGAACCGAGAGCTCCAAGTTCCACGAAGCCGTGCATGAATCCTTAATCAATGGTTTTTGATTAAGGGAGTGAGGATTGTCGATAAGTTCCAATGCCTTTTGTGAGAGTTTCTCGAGTTGGCAAGATAGGAGGTTTAGTATTGTTATCGGACGGAGCCTTGGGTTTTGTGCAGAGGCAATGCCTGTTCCGTGATATTGTAATTGTTGAGAGTATTAGGTAGTGGAGATATATCGACTACATGTGGTTCCACGGTGGTCCATCTGATACGGACGCACGGATCATATTGAAATCGTGGGCAAGTTGTCAGCGTGACTCGGGCAAGAGACTGAAACTTGGCACCGCGTATCAAACCCAGATAGTTGCGCGTTTGGGACATACTGTCGAGGCCTTGAGAGACTGGTTGGAGTCTGGTGTACTCAATAGGTATGTCGTGTGGAATTTTCTACCATGGGAAAGTACGCTTATAGCGATGGCTAATGAGCGACGATCCCGATGGTATTGTACGGGATTCTGAGTACGGAAAGAGGTGTGTACACCTCGTTTCAGAGCAGAGAGGAAGTTGCAGCCCCATTATTCCAGTCCTTTTGATACTCTCGGCCAAGTCGGCGACGTAGCATGACGGTTGACCCTATCACCGGAGCTTGCGGGAGTGCACGACCTGTCCAGTATCTCATGGGGAGGGGGCATGTGCGTGACTCTGGGACACATGACGAACTTTGACGAGCTGCATGTGGGCAGAACCTTACCTATGGAGGTACCAGTGACCTGTTGAATCGGTGGATCCATCAGAGATAGGCTAGGAGAGGTACTCGTCAAAGTCCGACGGGGTAGCCGTGGCAAGTGCTATGCGATTTGGGGAGAGCGAGGAGATTCGTATGGAGTATCCGAGTTTAGTGGTTTGGGATTTCTCTCTGGTGTCTGTTGTCCTGTTAGGAGGACTTTCTTTAATTTTCGTGGATGAAAATCTTTTAAGGAGGGTATATTGTAGCGCCCCGTTTGTTTATTAGAATTTTTTGAATATTATAATATTATTTATTTGCATTTTATTTGATTATTACCCTTGTTTTATATTAATTGCTCAATTTATTGTATATAAACTGCTCGTCTCTGTCTGCCCGATTTATCTGCTTATATATTTTATTACTATGTGATATATTTATGTGAATTATTGTGTGGTTTAATGTAATTATTTATGTGTTAGAACTATTAGGATCTATTGGAATTAAATTTTAATTGTTTTCGGCGATTTTTGTTTTAATCGCGTAAACCGAATGTTTATCCATTTTAATTCATTTTCGAGTCGCATTGACCCAATTGACCCAATATTGCGGCCCAAAGACATATGATGGCACCATACTTGAGCTTGAATCTCAAAACTCCTCTTTGATCGATTTTATTGAGGTTTGTGTGCCAATTAAGCTACTCTTCAACGGATAATTATCCTAATTGATAGAATTACATCTTTTCCCTCAAATTTTGTTCTTATAAGCGTGAAGAGAGAGAAAGAGCAGATCCGTATCAATTCTCAATCTCTTCTCTCTCACAACCCCAACCATCAACCCTTTCTTCTCGCTCAAAATTCAAATAGATCCGAAAAATTCAAACCCTCGACCCTCTTTCTCAAAAATTTCCATATGCTTCACACGTCATTTCTCCTCCAGCTCGGCGGCGTTACACATTTGCGACCAATTGCTGCTGAGCCATCCCGAATCCACGACAGCCGACCACCATCACTTCCACCGTGACCAGCCGTACCCTTTCACCGACAAGACCGACTCTTGAACAGCAACGAGCAACGAACAACTATCTCCTCCTCCTGGAGTTTTCCCGATTGCCATCGCTCCACCCGCATCGGTCTTTTCCCGCCGATCCACAGACCACCGGCGACCTTTCTTGTTTGAACATCGCCCCATCGGAAACACGCGAATTGCCATAGAGCGCCGACCGAGTCACCGCGAGTCTAAATTGAGCCCCGTCGAGGAAGCCGCAATCTTGCACCTTGCCGAAGAGACCCACGCGCGCCACGCTGAGCTGCCGCTTAGCCTGCATGCACGCTGGCAGCCACAAACCACCACTGCAGCGCCTCGTCGGTTCCTTCGGTCTACCGAGCACATCGAGTGACACCCGAGCTGAGAGCAGTCGCAAGCCGAGCCGCCTCCGAGAGCCCTTGAACCGAGCCTTTCTTTTCTAGTTTAATTCTCGAGAAAGGTGTGTGAGGAGTCGAGCCCTCGACCTACGTTTCTAATAGCGTTGTGCATTGCCTACCTCGTCTAATCAGGTGGGTGTTGATAAACCTTACCTTGTATGTTATTCTTTATAATTACTTGGCTTGATAATCAATGTATGTATGTGAATCATTAGCCTTCGAGAGTGTATCTCCCGGTGGATGGTTCTCCTAGTTATGCCTAATGAGAGTGTATCTCCCGTGGATGTTGGTCCGACGGTTTAGCTCCAGTTGTTGGACGGTTTAGATGTGATCACATGAGCGTAGAGCAGTATAGAAGGTAGACTAGATGATTATGTTCATGCTGCGATTATGATTTCTTTATATTGATTATACTGCATGGTATTCTCACGGTTAGCTAGTTGTTTGCTCACTCCCACTATTAACCATATTTCAGGTTGAGCTGGTGGCTGTTGGGAAACACAAGCGAGGCAGGGTCATTGTTTGATATTGAACTGCTAGTTACCTGCTCTCGCTTGATTATTGTTATTTATTATCTCGTGTTAGACTTGCTTATTTCTCGTTTGGAAACTGAACCAATGTTATTTGGGATTTTAATTCATGCTTGGGATTTTTAGAACTGGATTGATTATTGGGATTTGGATTTGATTGGATAATATTATCATGTTGGTTTTGATTCGATTATTTCGCATGATGGATCATATGTCATTAGCATGAGATATTTGTTTCGGGATGGTTGTTCCTCAATGTTTAAGTGATTGACTTAAACCGTTTTTATGCGGAAAAATTGAGTAGCGCCAGTTAAATAATCTTTAAATTGATTTTTGAAATATTAACTCTGATTTTTAGAAAAATAAATTATTATTTTTCACTTAAAAATAACGAGGCGTTAGAACGTTTCTCTAGACTGCTTTTGAAATTTTCTAAGTGTTTATGTAAATGACCCCTCGTCTTCGTCATGCCGCGCCAACTCAAAGTATGTGTTTAGTTTGCTAATTGCTTGTTTAACTATATTCTTTGGGACTTAGGAATTTATCATTCTTTCTTTGAAACTCTAATTGATGAGCTATCCTTATCTAATCTTCAAGTTACCTCGTTTATAGATAGGCCGCCTCATCGAAGGAATAATCCTGACCTGGATGCTCATCAGGCTCCACCCTCGCTGGGTCGAAACCACACTCAGATATTCATTCAGTTTCGGAACAAGTAGCTGCCGGCTTTCACCGGGGTTGAGGGCCCAACTGTTGTGGCCGAGTGGATTCGAAAGCTCGATCGAACCAGGGCTGTGAGAGAGAGGAAAGAGGATTATGGTTGTGAGAGAGAGAATTCGAGAGATATCCGATTATTTTGATCGTTTTTTTTATTTTTTTATATAAAAAAGAAAAAACTGAACAAAGAATCCGATAAGTCACATAATAGCAGCCCAAACAAGAACATTTTTTTTTTATTAAGGCGTGACCACGGCTTATATGAACAGAAATAATACATTTGACGTGTATAAGGCGTGCCCACGTTTTATAAAGAAAATCATTCATACCTTAGAAATTTTCAAAAACTTTTATCAAAACTACCAAATACTAACCTAAAAAAAATAAAAATCATGTACCAAAATAAGAAAAAAAATTAAAAAAAAAAATAAAAATTTGGGTTGCCTCCAAAAAGCGCCTTTCTTTAACGTCTTCGGATAGACATTATTTTCGGGACTCAATTAATTCCCTTTTTAATTTTTGTCAACTCATGCAAAAGACTTTGTTCTTGATCCTTGATCAAATCTCAACAATCAATAGAGGCAATTCCAACACCTGCAAAATAAAATATGAATCGTCAGTACAAGTAACAGGTGATATGGTATCAGTTAGAGAAAAGCAATACGATTCTTATAAGCTATATGGAAACTCTAGTGAACTATCAAAGATTGAATCATTGAAAAGTACAACTTTCAACTTACCCAGATCGCTCAATTCAAGATTTTCCGACACATTAGATTCACCAACACCCATAAAATCACTAGGAGACATATCACTTGGAGATTGAAAAACCACAACTTGTTCAGATTCCTCCATGAATTCTTGCTCTATCTTAGGAGATTCCATCAATTCTGTAGCACAACTCGAGGTATCTACCACCATTTCTGATGACAACTCAACTCGAGATATACTTTCGCTCACTGAGGACACAAGTTGATCCAGTCGATCTGCTAGATTCTTACGGCTGCTCCTAATTTTTTGTTGAAATTGTAAAGTACTAAACGTAAGAGACTTAACAATTTCTTCAAGAGATGTGATCGAACTTGATGGATATTGTTGTTGGGTAGCAAATGGTGTAGAGGGCGAGTAATCACCACACCACTCAGAGTTGCAGCTATCATAAAATCCATCAAACCTAACTTGTTGGAGCTCTTGAAAATTTCCAACTTGAAAATGCCCTTGAGGATCATATAGAAATGTTGGGGCAATAACAAGTTGGGTGTTGGGAGTCGCCACAAATTCCACCAAACTCAGATTGGCACGTGCTTTCCCTGTGATAACCATTTTGCTCGAACTGCTGAGAATAAAACTGTAACGTCCCGTTTTATTTTAAAGAATTTACCGAATTTATTCATAAAAATCAGAGTTAATTTCTTGCAAAATCCCAAATTAAAACTTTAATAATCAACGGGCGTTACCTAACTACAAAACAATTACCCAAGTACGAAACAAATAAATGGAACCTACACATGCATAGTTTAACAATTATAAAAAAATCAAACCAAATAATTCATAAGTCACACGACCTATCAAATAGTTCAACATGATCCAAACGTTTCATTCAACATGTTCATAATAATCAAAGCGGAAGCATAATAATTCAAAGTAAAGACAAGCGGTTTAACAAGATAATAAAATCAGAAGCAAAAGACAGATAATTCCAACGACCACCACTCGATCGTCTCTCGCTGCCGCCGCCAACCATGCTCAACCTAAAAGATAGGAACAGGAACAAGAGGACAGAAAAGCAATGGGGGTGAATAAAATCATTTTACTCACCATTACCGCACAGTATATCTCGCATAAAGATTCATAACTATGAATAATGTATGCATAGAATCCAGATCTAACTCCCTATAAGGCCCTACCGCAAACCTCCTATATACATACAACAAACCTCCCGACCAAACATCGGCAAGGATGTAACCGGAAACATTCCCACCCCGGATGCAACGGGCATAGGATCTTATCCAGGAGACAGTGGAGCTGATTTACCCCTCTGCTCTACACGGATTCGGGCGTCCATTTTTTTCCCTCCCGTCTACATGGATTCAGGCGTCCACTTCCCGGATGCAACAGGCAGATGATCTCCACTGATTATGCATTCGTCAAAGGCACTATCGACGGGACACTTAGACTAGGGTTCTCATGCATACAAAAGCTATCTTGACAAACATTTATACGAAATAACGAGTGTGATAAATATAGATTCAACATAAATGAACCCATCTGGTAAAAATCGAGATAAAACACAAAAATGAGGGTAGGCGGCGAGCTCGACTCGTCAAGCATCTACATTTAATAAAATGCCTTATCAAAGACTATTCGACAATTAATTAGTCCAACTAAGTTCACGTAAGCATTTAAGCATGCATTAAATCAAAGAAATTAAATTTTCGAAAATATCACATAAGTTTTGAAAACTTAACCCGGGCAGCGTTTTTAAAACCGACATAAACCTCAACACACAACTCATATGAACAAGAATCAAGTTGCATCAGAACCCTAAGACATGTGTCTATATTTTTATGAAGACACCGAAAGAGAATAAGGGCATTTAGCAGGTGATAAATCAGCAAACATTCAAAATTGAGTTACAGTCCAAAACTGGGAATATGAAATTGACCAAACCTCAATAATTGCTTGCTAACTATAGCTACAGGCATGCTCTCAATGAGATTCAAAAACCACATGATAGATAATTCAAATTTCTATAACTTTGCCGAAGGTCATATTCGCAAATATTCACATTATCAATGAGTTTAATTACAAAACATTTGTTTCAGCAAACCTGTCAAAAACTAACATGTGATATGGGCAGCACCTCAGATTTTATCACTTAACTCTAGCTACAGTTCTCCAGTCTTAAATTAAACCTAGAGCATGCCTCTACAACTTTCATTTAGAACACAGAAGCATATAAGATCATTTGGATAGTGAAAAATTGGTTAACATTCAATATCAGATTTCTGCCAAAATAATAAGTCCCATCTCAAGCATGTCTAACTTCATAAGAACACAACTCGAGCTACAGAGCACATATCAACATGAAATTTATCTCATTTGAAAGGTAAGAAACATGCCTATAACGTTAATGAAGAGAACAAATTCATACGATCACATTACGACATGATAAACAGTTCACACATTAACTATACCTATGCTGTCGGGTAACAGGAAAAACTGAATGCACAAAATACTTGCAAAAATCATAATTTATTCGATATAACTCGGAATCGAGAAATTCCAAAGCCCAGGTACAGAAAACCGAACACAATACATTTCATATGAATACCACAACTTTAAATAATCAGTCTCTGATGGCTTAAACTGAGGCACAACAGAACAACGAAACATGCACTTTTCACATGAAATGACAATGAATTCGTATAACGATGGTTCCAATCTCGACAACGATCATTATAACTTATAAATCAGCAACAAACGAGCATAATGAGGATTTATCACAGCAACTAATGATGTTTGATTTATAAAAGTCGAGAGTTATTAACGCCTGGTTAATACGACAATACGAATCGAACATATAACAACACTCGAGATACCGAACTCGAAATCATCGAACATAAAATCACCAAAATACATCTAAATCACGAAAATAATCACATAAATAAATAAATAACGAAAGGTTGAGACTCGTTACCGATCTCGGGAAAGTGTTCGAAAACGGAACGAAAAGGCGGGAGGTAATCGGCTCGACGGCGGAGCTGCATCTCGCGGGGGAAGAAATAGTGGCTGTCGAGGCTCTCGACGGGGCTGCCGGTTGAGACGGGATTCAAAATAGAGAAAATATCCAACCAAAGAAAAAACTCGTAGAAATGGTTCAACGGTTCGATCACGGATGCAAATATAATTCTCATAATCTTGATTAAACTGGTTATGGTTATTGGTATGACCTAAAAACCTATCCTTCCTTACTTGTTCGATAATCAGGATACGATCTCTAACTATTTCTCTAATCAATAGACAACCCTAGATATGATCATAAGATTTAATCTATCAACAGCAATAAGATCTAGAAGGACCACAAATTCTAGCCAACAAACGCACATGTAGGATCATTTAGACTAGATCATATATCTCCCTAAGCACACAATTGAAAATCCTTGGTAGTCAACTATGCTATTTGCCACAAATATTAGAACAGTCTAATAATTACGGATTTAACCATTCCAAATAACGATATGCATTTCAACAATCGAACAAATGGCCAATTTGCATCAACAATCAAAACACAATTAATAATAATCATAAGAGATATATAAATAAAAGAGAATAGGAAATATAAAATTCAATTAGATCTCACAAATCATGAAGAACCACATCTAGAATAATCCTTTGGCTGTAAAAATAAATTAATTCTCCATAAACATGAGAGTCTTCTCCCAATTATTCATGAAAAATAATAGAAAAGAAGAAAAGAGAAGAAGAAAAAGGAGAAGGGCGTGCGTAGAGGAGAGGGAGAAAAAAAAGAAAAAGATAGATCCTAAAATAAATCTAGCAGTCTGGTTTTTAATCAAACCAGTCTAATCCTAATCCTGGCAGAAAGTACGTAGAAAACAATAAAGAGATCATTCTCTCTCCAAAATATCCTAAAAAAATATAATAGTCCAAAAATGAAGACTCCTAAAAGGCTTTATTATTCTTTTTCTAATTCAAGACTCCTTCCTTCTTCCAACTCTCGTAGGAAATTAGCGTTCCCACGCCTTAGCTCAAATTCGTCCCTTTTGCCCTCCAATCATCATAAAATTTCAATTCCGAGATCTCCTATAAAAAAATTTAAAAATCGATTAAAATCAATAATTATGTAACGCCCCGCCCTACTAGTGTTTGAATATTGAAAATCAGAGTAAAATTTTCACTTTTTATTTTCGAAATATCGTGCGAGCTTGGTTTTTCGAAAATGCTCTCTTACTTGCGGGATGCTATGAAAAACTTTCTTATCTTACTTAATAAAACATGCAACCAAATAAATTCAAATGTGGAGAATAGAAATCACTCACGCATGTCTTACTGTCTCGCACTGTCTAGTTTAGCGGAAGCTTTACTGAATAATACATAGTTCACACACCCATATTACATATTATTACATGTCTATGAATTTTTTTTAAAACATAAGATGTGTATAAAAATGTCCACTGCTCATGACCACGTTTTCCACGTCTGCTCACCCGGCACGCTGGACTCCCACACCTGAAATAGGAATAACTGTGGGAGTGTGAGCACATCTGCATGCTCGTGGGAAACTGGAACTGAAATATTCTTAACTGTAAACATAAACTTAAAAGCAGCATAAAATAAATAAGATTGTTGTACTGTAAACATTTCTTGAACTTAAATTGAGGTCTAAAAGACCCTTAACGGCCCTTACTTCGGCCACTAGTGTGCACACCCCGATTGGGATATTAAGGCCCTCGGCCTCTATCGGGAACCAGGTGGAATATTAAGGCCCTCGGCCTCCAAATCCTGAGAGAACTAACTGACTCGAACATACCTCAGACATGGTACAAATATTAATAATGATGTGGAACCCAGCGCATGACCCCCATACTGACCAGTACTGAATTAGACAGCATCCATAATAACATATCATGACTTAAATATATAAGAGCTGAAACTGTAAACTTTTTTTTTTTTTTTTTTTTATCTTTATTGTGGTCATAAGACCCTCGGCCCTCAGCCGCTCGTATGCATACCCCGATTGGAATATTAAGGTCCTCGGCCTCCATCGGGTACCAGGTGGAATATTAAGGCCCTCGGCCTCCAAATCCTGGCAGATATAACTGTCTCGAATGGAA